GATCTGTGTGTTGTGAGACACACTAGTAAAAAGAATAAAACAGGGACAAGGAATGTAGCTAAGCCTAGCTCTCAAATATTTCAAAGCATACTGTTTAAACATGTATTTTTAATGTATGTATTCAATTAAGTCCTTACCTTACTCATAGCTTTGTAAACGGACAGCAATCCATATTTGCTTGAATGACTCACTGAGATTAAATAAGAAAACTTGTTGTATTAATAAGTTGGATTTATGACTACTAGCCAGGCATGGTGTTGCATACCTAGATTCCCAGCACTTGAGAACTAGATGTAGGAAGATCAGGGCTGCAAGGTCATCCTTGGCTCATGTAGCTCAGATTGGTCTAAACTTACTGTGTGGTCTTATGATGGTCTTTAAATCTTTTTTTTTTTTTTTTTGGTTTTTTCGAGACAGGGTTTCTCTGTGGCTTTGGAGGCTGTCCTGGAACTCGCTTGGTAGTCCAGGCTGGTCTCGAATTTACAGAGATCCGCCTGCCTCTGCCTCCCGAGTGCTGGGATTAAAGGCGTGCGCCACCAACGCCCGGCTGGTCTTTAAATCTTAACCTCCCGGCATCCATTTCCCAATTACTGGGATTACAGGTATATGCCACCAGGCTTGTCAGTCCCCATTATTTGCCTTCATCATTAGTCTTTATACTTACACGTATTAGTCTTTGCACTGCAAAATTCTTTTTTGCTAAATTGTCAGTGACACGTGTGAACCTTTATGCCTGTTGTTTCCTACATCTTCAGGAAGAAATATGACAACCATACTGAAAAAATTTAGCTTACTTGTGTTTCGCCTAATTGTAGAATATTGTTTCATGCAGGGGACTATCATGTCACACACCTCAGACAGATTCAGTTGAAGGGCTGGAGATGCAGTACAGTGGTACAGCACTTGCCTATTTGGTGCAAGTCTTAGTATTCAGGCATCTGTACTGGCCTGTCCTTGGGGTTCTGACAGGATACGTCCTCAGCTGCAGCCACTGAGAGCACCACCTGTGCGCATTCACTATGTTCTCTTTTAAAAGGGCCCTGCTCACCTCCAATCCTCCCTCCCTCTCTGTGTGTTTATCCTCTGCTCTCTTCCTCCCTCCCTCCCTCCATCCTCCCCCTCTATCCTCTCTTCTGCTGCTTCAGTCCCTGGAGGCTGGTCTCCACTTCCCCTCTCCCCTTTTTATGATCACTTTCCCTAATAAAAATCCCCTCTTCTTGAACTATGTCTCATGGTGTCTTTCTCTCGCACACCACTTTTCTTTTTTAAAATTACAACAGCAAAGCCCCTGGTTCAAGTTTCAATACTACACACTAAAAATTCATTTGCACCACAGATGAACATAATCATATATGTCAGGGCCACTGTTTAAAGAATCTTAACATCAGGGCATGGTGGCTCATAGCTGTAATCCTAATACTTGGGAGGCTGAGGCATGTAGCTCACCGTGAGTCTAAGACCATCCTGTACAACATAGTGAGAAGGTATCTCAAATAATAAACAAACAAGCAAAAATAAGAGCACATTCATTTCCTCTCACCTATATCAAATTTTTCTTCAATGTTTTAGGTAACTTGATATTTCATCGGCTGAAGCATTTAAATGAATTCTCAGCTTCAATCCATGATGGTACATTTCTATTGTTCAGCATGCTAATATAACATCAAGTTACTTAAAGCATTTACTTTAGACTTTTAACTCTTAACACGATTTTTCATATTTAAAAACCCTTAAGATTAAAGAAATAATTGGTGTTTAAAATTACAAAACCCTCACTCATTAAACACCTATAAACATGATTTTTTTTGTTTTTGTTTTTTGCAAAAAGTCCTAATATATTAAACCTGTATTTAATCAAGTCAGGCAACAGTCATGAAGATGAGCAAAAATATTCATAGAAATGAAAAAGGTTGCATTTGTTGACATTCCCCCCCCCACACACATGCACATACTTAAATTAGAATGTAAAGTTGATCAGGGCTAATCAGGTTCAATACAAATCCAGTGAAGCCCCAATTATTTATTATTTTCTTTCTCTTCAATTAGCTTTTATTCATCTTGCTATTTCTCTACCTACACCTTCCCAACAAATTAAACACCCAAGGATTCCTGTGTAGAATAAGCAACCCTTAGGTCTGTGGTATAACTAACTGCATCGATTTTCAAAATTGCTTTCATAGATGATGTTTTCCTCCTCAGTGGAAATTAGCAATTACTGAAGGTATTATTTAAAACTAGTATGGCCATTAAGAGCCTAATTTTATACAGTACTGGAGATCAAACACAGATCCTCAAGCATGTAAGGCAAGTGCTTTACTACTGAGCTGTACTTCTAGATCTAAACACACAATTTTTAAAAGGTGTTTGCCTTGGTAGTTAATTGAATAATTACACTTCCTTAAAATCTATAGTTTTATGTGTTCCTAGATGTAAATTCAGATCTCAAATCTTTAAAAAGTCAAGGGAGGAGAGAAATGGAACTCAGAAGTAGAGTTACTGCCTATCATGTTCAAAAACCTGGATTCTGCCCCCAATCACACAAAATCAAATAAAACGAGCAAAAGTCAAGGGATAGGCTGAGTGTGTTCAAGCATTCCCATAATCACAGCAACTGGGAAGTGGAGGCAGAAAGCATGAAGGCCACCCTGGGCTACGTGAAACTTTGCCTCAAACAAACATAAAATCTAAGGAGAAAAAATTGTCTTTGTATTAACACCTTAGGGTCATATGACTGGATCTTCAGCATAGTTTTTTTTTTTAAGCTGATATTTATTTATTTTTTTAAATTTATTTTTCAGTTTAATTTTAGATAAGAAACAAGGTTGCTTCACAAGTCAGTTCCAGGTCCCTCTCCCTTTCCCTCCCCTCTTCCCGTGTCCTCCCCCAACTTCCCCCCCCCATTATCCCCTCATTTCCCCAGGGAGGATGACACTAGAAGAAACCATCCTGAGTGAGGTAATCCAGTCACAAAAAGAGAAACATGGCATGTACTCTGTCATATATGGATTTTAGACATAGATCTGGGGAATGCCAGCCTACAATCCCATGGCCAGAGAGTCTGGGAAACAGAAACTTCATTCAGTGGCTGATGGAAGAAGAGGCAGACTCCCTTGGTTAAGTACTGAGCTGAACTCAAGAAAGCCAGTAACAGAGAGGGAGGACTGATGATCAAAGGGATTAAGACTGGGCTGGTTTAACCCCCAGAAACAGCTGACCAGACAAAGGTTAACTCTTGAATCCCAGGCATCAGCCTGGGAATCCAGCATGGGACTGATCAAGACCCCCTGAATATGAGGGTCAGTGAGGAGGCCTAGGTAATCTATTGAGCCTTGGGCAGCATATCAGTACCCATCCCGAGTATACACACGGACTTTGGACTCCCATCCAACAATGTGAGGTGCACTCTCACCCTGAACTCTTGGGGGGAGGGTCTACGCCCTGCCCTGTATGAAATGACAGACTATGGGAAATCAGTATGGAGATTCCTCAGAAAAATGGGAATAAATCAACATAGTTTTTATTTGGAAAAACATAAGGTTTTACTGCAATGAATTTAAGGGCACAGGAATCAAGCATGCAAGCTCTGTAGATAAACAGAATATTGGGAAACTGAGAAAAATGACAAATAGTTTAAATTCTACTATATAATCCACTATTGCGCTAATTTAGTTTACCCCTCCCCCACCACGTGTGAGAAAATCTTGCATTATATGAATCACTTAATAGAAATCTACTACAATAAACTAGAGAGCCAGTGTCAGGCGGTGGTGGTGCACACCTTTAATCCCAGCACTCGGGAGGCAGAAGCAGGTGGATCTCTGTGAGTTTGAGGCCAGCCTGGTTGGTCTACAGAACTAGTTCCAGGACAGGCTTCAAAGCCACAGAGAAACTCTGTCTTGAAAAACCAAATAAATAAATAACTAAACTAGAGAGCTGGTATCAGAAAGTGACAGGTGGTGGGTGCTTCCTTCAGTAGGTGAGTTAGAAGATCCAATTAGCCAGGTGGTGGTGGTGCACACCTTTTATCCCAGTACTCAGGAGGCAGGTGCAGTTGGATCTCTGGGAGTTCAAGGCCAGCCTGGTCTAAAGAGTGAATTCCAGGATAGCCAGAGCTACACAGAGAAACCTTGTCTCAAAAAATTTAATTTAATTTAAAACACACACACACACACACACACACACACACACACACACAAGGATGAAGGAGGAGAAGAAAGATCCAGCTATAGCCATCAAGAGTGCAATAGTGTCTGGATTTGGAGAAGTACATGCTACTCATCTGTTAAGACACCTGTTAGGGCACTTGAGAAACAGTTTTATGTACACAGAACACAAAATCCATGATGCTAATAGCTAGCACTTAGTCACAAAAATAGTTTCTCAAGAGCAATATGAGAAAAACCAACACTTCTAGTTCTCTTTATACAATTAAAGCAGCTTTGTGAGGCATGTTTTTTAATAGCACTCTCTGCCAACATTACTTTTTGTTTTGGTCATTTTGAGTCAGAGTTTCGTGTATCTCAGGCTTGCCTTGAGCTTTTGTATGTAGTTGAGGATTCTCTTGATGTACTGAGATCACAGGTGTGCACCGCTAAAGCTGGTCTGTGTGGTTCAGTGGCTCATGCATTATAGGCAAGCACTCTTCCAACTGAGCTACATTCCCAAACCCAAGTTTTTTGGGTGGTACCTGGCATTGAATCCGAGGCTTCATACAAACTCACCATGCTCTCAGACACTGAACTATGGGTAGTCCCAGATCCAAGTACGCATTCTTAGGTGTTTCTCTAAAGTTCTTAATTAAACGTCTAACCGTTCCTTCTGAAATCAAACATTAATAATACACATGCTAGAGAAATGAACAAAAGTTGATAGCACCCATTTGGAATAGTACTTTGTAACTTTTAAATATAATAGTTCACTTTACTTCTGAATATATGCAGTAGTTACAGCATACTTTAAACCAATAACTAGTTTTTTATAACTCCTATGTTAATACTCACCAAAGTTTTTGTTGACAGTTGAGAAGATTAAGGGGATTGAAAGATGGTAGTATGTGCAAATTTTACTTGGCTGATCTTCAAGCTTCATTTTGCCTATGACAAAACAGTAGGCCAGGGCAGACATGTCTTATTTGACATAATTTGAATTGTGAGAGTAATGCTTGTTTATTCCTATTGGTTTGTAAAACATGAAACATGTTAATAGAAAGGCAAATTTGAAGTCAGGCATGCTGGCTCACACCAGAGGCTGCAGCACAAGGACTGCCAGGAGTTTCAGGTCAGCATGGGCTTCAGAGTGAGATATTTCATTACTTTTAAAAATAATTTCCATTTTAATGGTTAACAAAACTGTGGTACATACCCAGCTGTATATAAAAATGAAATAACAGTATCCACATTAAAATGATGGACTTGGGAAGTATATTAGGTGAGGTGACAGAAACTCAGACACAAGTAAACAAAAAATCATATGTTTGTTCTCCCTTATATGTGGCTGCTTGGCTCTAATGTACAGATGTATAAGTCTGAACAGGTGTAAGTGTGGGTGCAGTATTCTATGTAGAAGTAAGTCCAAGAGCAGACACTATTATGTGAGGAGAAAGAATGGAGAAGCAGCAAACTGGATGTATGACTTATGAAAGCAGATCTAAAGTTAGATTTTAAAGTTACAACTGTCATCATTTTATTTCTTTTTGTGGTAGATAAGAATAAGAATATAATTGCTAGTGAAACTGTAAATCCTAAAGCACAGTTTCATTGCTTCTGAATGACCATTTTAACTGTTTAGAGTTTGGGACTTGGCAAGTGTTTGAGCTGTGGTGGTTTGAAAAAAAATGGTCCCCAAAGGGAGGGCCACTATTTGTAGGTGTGGCCTTGTTGGAGGAAGTATGTCACTGTGGGGGTGGGCTTTGAGGTCTTTTTCTTAAGCTTCCCTCAGTATGGCAGTCAGGTGACTTCCTACTACCTTCTGGTCAAGATTAGGTAGCACCACATGCGCTTGCCATGTCACCATGCTCCCCATCATGATGATGATGGAGTGAGCCTCTGAAACTGTAAGCAAGCCATCCCAATTACATGTTCTATTTGTAAGAGTTGCCATGGTCATGGTGTCTCTTCACAGCAATAAATACCCAAACTAAGACAAGTGTCTTCCTAAACTAGCTATGTGAATTTTTATTTTTATATTGATTGGTTTTTTTTATATTATGAGTTAATTAGAGCAAAGTGACTTTTTTTGGTTTTTCAAGACAGGGTTTCTCTGTGGCTTTGGAGGCTGTCCTGGAACTAGCTCTTGTAGACAAGGCTGGCCTTGAACTCACAGAGATCTGCCTGCCTCTGCCTCCCGAGTGCTGGGATTAAAGGCGTGCACCACCAACGCCCAGCTCAAAGTGACTTATTTTTAAGAAACTTTACATTTTTAGTATTAACCAAGCATAGCATGACTATTCATTCATTCATTCATTTTGAGAATGGGTCTCACTCTGTAGCCCAGTATACCCAAAACTCACTCTGTAGACCAGGCACTCGAGATTATAAACATGTGTCGTTATGCTTAATTTTGTAAACATACATTATAACTAAATAGATAAATTATAGCACACAATGAACAGTAAAAACCCATTTTAAAATACTGGCCAGAAATATCTGACTGTGAAAAAAACAACACTGCTAGGCCAGGGGTCTAACTCTGTGACAGAGCACTTGCCTAGTATAGGTGAGGTCCTGTGTTTAATCCTAGTTATGCATATGTAAAAGCAGAATTGCTTGAGTCATTTTCTTGATGTAAGTATTAACTTTGCAGTTTACATTCTTATAATAGTATCTGCCCGTGGGAAAACTAATACAATCCATGCCATCTAAAGTAAAGTATATGTGAATGATAATTCATTAAAGCTACCACTTGAAAATTACCCGAGAAAGGCTAGGGTTGTAGTTCAGTGATAGAATATTTGCCTAGCATGTGAAATACCCTGGATTCAATTCCCAGCAACACAACAATATGAGTGCCCATGAGATGGAGATTCAATAGACTTTCTTACCATAAAACCCACAGCTCATCCAGTGCTAAAGAAGTCTCAAATTCTGCTCCTTCCTAGATCACTCTTACAGTGCTATATAAAAATGACCCATTCCTCCCTTGTCACTTAAATGTGAAACATGGAAAAACAAAAATGCATTCCTCATAAAAGAAAACTGAAGAGTATGCTTTGGTAATCCTAGCATTAGTTTAAAAGTAGTATTTTACAGCCACCTAATTTCTTCAAATTTCTTAGACTTGCCAATTGAAGCCTTATCATCTCTTGATTACCCTAAGGGAATGAATTGCTGCTTATCACACACTTGAGAGACTAATCTTTAGCTCATATTACTGTACTTGCCAATGTCTTCAGTCTTTTATCAGGTTTTTCCAACCAGAGCCTTCTTCTTGGTTTTTATACCACCTTTTCCTGTATTGCGTTTGTGTTGATGAGCTCCAAATAGGACAGAGGTTGTTTCCCAGGTGAGTATTAATATTCCAAAATACTTAAATGAGATTAGATTTCAATTTTCCTGCTATGCTGTTTGGTCACTAATGACCAAATGAAATTTTATTGGATTTCTATAGGGCATTCCGAGGAGAGTCTGATGTAACATATAGACTATGTGGTATATGTAGAATTCACTTCAGAATTGCCTTAGGAATACACAAACAAATAAGGCAATTGTCTTCTAGAGCAGCTGAAACCAGATACATGATATAGGTGTGGATGACAGATGACATGCCACTGGTAGGAGACCAAGTTTATTATGCCAAAACTGAATGATAGAAACAATTTTATGCAGTGCTGAGGACTGAACCCAGGGCCTCATGCATGCTAGGCTAGGATTGTAAGAAAATATTTTGTTTATAACTGTAGCAAAAGGAAAACAACTCCAATGTTGTGTTTATACTCTAACTTAAGAATACTATTGGTTTATTTAATTATTTTATGATCCCTGTAGCGCAGGTTGACCTTAAATTCTCTATATACCCAATGATGACCTCAAAGTTCTGATCTACCTCCATCATGCTGGGATTCCAGGCAAGCACCACCATATCGAGCTTATGCAATGATAGGGATTATACTCAGGGCTTCTTGCATACTAGGCAAGTACTCTACCAAATTATCTACATTCCCTCATCCCATACTTTTAAATATGCAAATGACTAACTTTATAAGAGCTTTTAGACTGCTGACATATTTGAATAATTTTTCAAAATTTATCTAGTTTTTTTCTTTGAGACTGTCTCATTCAGTAGCCAAGGCTAGTATCAAATTTGCTACTTAGCTGAGGATGACCTTGAAATCCAGATCCTCCTTCATCTACCTCCCAATGGCTTGGGTTATAGGCATACTGGTAGCATGCACAGCCAGATTTTAGCTAGTCTTGTTCTTACAATATAAAACGTTTAGTTTGTCGGTGGTGGTCCACGCCTTTAATCCCAGCACTTGGGAGGGAAAGGCAAGTGGATCTCTGAGTTCGAGGCCAGCCTGTCCTACAGAGCAAGTCCCAGGACAGGCTCCAATGCTACAGAGAACCCCTGTCTCAAAAAAAATACAACCGAGTTAGACACTTTGTCAGGAAGAATGTTATTATCCAATTTGAAATAATAAACCATTGAGATAGATACCAAACTTTTGCCTGTATTTTTTCTCTTTCTTTACTATAATTATTTTCACAAACACAATTTTACTTTCCTTTCTATTTACCCCTTCTCCCATCAATAGTAGCTAAACTTTGTATTAAACATATAGGTCAGTTGTATTTACAAAGGAAGAAGAATGCAGTTTAGCTAGGTAATTCTACAAAGTGTGTTGTATGCTGAGCTGAATACTTAATTACATATAGTCCTTTCACGTAGGAACTTCTAAAAATAACTAAACATTTTTTAAAAAGTTTTAGTCAGGTGTGGTGGTAAATACTTTCAATTCCAGCATTTGGGAGGTCAAGGCATGTGGATCTCCATGAGTCTGAAGCCAGCCTGATCTACTTAACATGTTCCAGGTCAGCCTGGTCTACATAACAAGCTCCAGTCCAGCCTGGTCTACATAACAAGTGTCAGGTCAGCCAGGGCTACATAGTAAGACTTTGTCTAGAAGAACAAAACCTATAACTAAATTTAAATAAGTTGAGTAACATTTGATATTAGTTAATTTTGCAAAATAATTCAAAATTATAGTTATTTATACTAGAATGCAAATGTACCTTTTCTTTTTGATGTTTCCAGAATACTTGGCCTAAAAGTTCTGATGGTCCTGTGAATCCTAAAATAAAGACATCATGATTATTACAAGAAAATTTTTAAAGAACTCTATATACTATATAATATCACATCATTGTATTGTCTTTCTCAAAATATTAATACGAACTAAGATAAAAAGCAAAGATGAAAAAGTTCTTGCAATGCTAGGAATTGAACCAGTGATCTCATGCATGCTAGGCAAGCACTGGGGAGTATTAGCACTAAACTGTAGATCCACAGAGATTTTTCTTTCTGATGCTTTAGAAAACTTGGGGGTGGGTGTCTATCAGTTGGTAGAGGGTTCTAGCCAGCATGTTAGCTGCTCTGGGTTTGATCCCCAGTGCTGTGTAAACTAGATTTGGTGGTGCACACCTGTAATTCTAGTACTTAAGAGGTGGAAGCTAGAGCATTGGAAATTTAAGGTTACCCCTTGCTACAAATTGAGTTTGAGGATAGCCTGGGCTATGTGACTTCATTTTTAAAGTAAAGAAATAAAGTGCTAGAGATACTTGTGAACAAATTCAAACCTGGTCAGAGAAACATTATGGTCAAGCCAGGGTCAATGAATTGTAAAATTCACCACTTGGTCACTTGATTTTTCTTTTCAGTATATAAAATGATAAATCGAAACAAATGATATTTTTATTTCACTAAAGCAAAATAGCTTCATTTACACAGAACTTGGAGCTCTGCTTTCTTTTACACTATTGGAATACTTACTTGGGAACCAGAGATAAGTTCAGTGAGTACTTGCCCTGCATTCATGAGACCCTGAGTTTTATCCCCAGCATTGCAAAAGGAATTTATTTTACAAGAAATTCCATATTTTCAGACAATATAAACTTAAATAGAAAATTGTCACTTAGCCTGATAGGGCAAGCCTACAATCCTAGATATTCAGGAGACAAGCCAGGAAATGACAAATTCAAGGCCGGTCTGACATAAACAGTGAGTTCAAGTCTACACTGGGCAATTTATCAACGTTCTGTCTCAAAAAGTAAAATGAAGGCCAAAGATATAGTTTATTGGTAGACTGTTGGACTAGGATGTGCAAGATCCTGAATTCTATCTCTAGGAAAAATATAGGGAGGGAGGGACGGAGGGAGGGAGAGAAGAGAAAGAAATTGAAAAAAGAAAAGAGAGAAAGAAAATGGTCACATGAGTTAGTCATGGTGGTCCACACCTGTAATCCCAGAACTTGGGAGGTTGAGGCAGGAGGATCCTCGAAAGTTCAAGTCCAACCTGAGCTAGAGAGAAAGACCTTGCCTGAACAAACAAAATGAAACAAACAGAAAGAATAACAACAAAAAGAAAAAAGTTGAAACTATCACATGCACTAGGGCTTGAAGGCAAACCCCTGCAACTCACACCCATTTGTAAGGATAGAGAAAAAAAGACTGTTAAAACCAAATTGTAATAGAGATTTTAAAACCATTACTTGTCTCAGTGGCTTCCTAGGGCATGCAGGGATAATGGGAGAAGGCTGAGTACAACGCATGACAATGGAATTAGTGTGAGGACTGCTTTACTATGGCTGTAGTTATAGAATTGTATGCGATTCCAAAATTCATTCAATTATACATTAAAAAGCTGCTAAATTTAGTTGAAAGAAAATAACATGTTTAATAAATGAAAAAGAAAGTAAAGTATTTCGGGGGTCATTTTGTTTGTGTTTGAAACAATCTCACTATGTAAGCCAAGCTGACCTCGTACTTGAGAGCCTCCTGCTTCAGCCTTGTGAGTACTGAGATTTCAGGCATGTGTCACCATGTTTGACAGGAAAATGATCACACAGAATTGGGTATATACTAGTCAAATATATTTCCCTAAAGACTTGAGTGGGTAACTATTGATATCGATCAACATTTCAAGAGACAGATTTTTAAGCACTCCTTTCTTGCCTTCCCAGGTTTCTTGATGAGAAAAGTCATTGGAGAGCCTGGAATTATTTTGGTGTTCCTTACAGTGAATGGCTTCATGGCACCGTTGTCATTCTGTATAAAGAGAAAGAAGTGTACAACTGAACCCCAAATGCATGCTAACCGAGCCCTGGGGAGACATATCTGCTGATGAGCAGGCGTGGACTTAGTACAGGATCTCAGTGCTACAGTGAGGATCTCTTACCACAAAGCAAGTGAGGAACCCAAGATTCATGTTGATAAAGCAATGGCAGCCTTGATCTTTTGGAAGAGAGAACTACATGGTCACTGAGGTATTTACCTAGTACCCCAGAATGGCAGTGTGAACACTCAATATTGAACAATATGTACATTATACTCAGGCCGTAAAATTAATGTTCCTTATGAATGGATCTACTGCTGTGCTATTGAAAACTATAAACTAACATACATATTTATGCTTGATATTTCATGTGTATTGTAATTCTCACTAAATCATATTTGGTCCTTTCCTGTATAGTATTACTCCCATAACTCAGGATTTAAAATGCATTCTTTTCCCAAACTGAAGTTGTTATCCCAATGTTCAGGCTCTCTTATTCACTCATGCCAATACCTGAAGTAATTAGAATCTGCTCAGTTAAGGAACTCCAAAAGCATATACAAAACGAATTACTATGAAGCCTGAAAGGAGCCAAGACTCCAGAGGTTGTCTCCTCAGCACTTACCTACCCTGTAAAAAGCTACTGTCAAATGAGGGTCAGTTTCTCATTGGAGGCTTCCTTCAAAGAAAAACATGTCTACCACCAATAGCCCATTTCCTCATCTACTGATTCCTAAAGTCTGGGAGTTGACATTAGCCAAAATCTCTCCTACTCAAATTTCAACTCGGGTTTTCTCATGGATGTTCACAAAAAAGAAGAGTAAAAGCCATGCAATGACCACAACTAAGTAACTCTAATGTGTGCAGACATTTAAAAACATAAAGTAGTGATATCCATAGCCTAAATGTTTAAATTGAAGGCTGTATGTCAAAATGTTAGTAGAAATGTTCTAAAGTATTGAAATGAAGGCCATATTATCCTAGTAAATCTACAGTTGCTAAATCATATAGAAGGAAATAAAATTGTTTTGTCACCTAAGCATTTTAACACAAGTGCTTGTGTGTGTGTGTGTGTATGCTCTAAGGAACTTCCTGTATTTGTTCCCATCATAGGTACACACTGCCATGTATGAGTTTTTCACATGGACATTGGGAATCAAACTCTGTCTCATGCTTATGTGACAAACACTTTACCAATTAAGCCATATCCCTAGTCCTCAGTCTTTTGTTAAAGACAAGATCTAATGTTTCCAGGCTGACTTCAAACTTGTAGTCAAGGATGACCTTGAGCTTCTTATCCTCTTGCCTCTATCTACCCATAGCTAGCAACAATTGAACTTTCTTAGGTTAACCAGGACAGAGAGCAAATCAATCCATTGGTCCACAACAGGATCAGCCTCAATCAATATTTCTGTCTCTGTCTCTCTGTATGTATCTTTCTCTGTGTTTCTCAGTGTCTTTCTCCTCTCTGTGTCTCTGTCTCTGTGTGTCTCTCTCTCTATTTCTGTGTCTCTATTTCTCTAACTCCCTCCTCGGCATGTCTGTCTGTGTCTCTGTCTCCTGTCCTCACTCCCACTATATTGTCCAGGCCGTGGTCTGGTATATCTAGGTTCAAAGAATCCTCCTGTCTCTGCTTTTCCAGTATTGTATCTATAGAGAGACTTTACAACTCCCAGCTACATCTATACTTTGGGTGTCAGAAAACTATATTATTTAAGCTCCTCTTTCAAATAATGACATTTATTCTTATTAATAAAACTGTAAAATGTTTCTTTTTAAGGATCTTTTTGTACTTGTTGTATACACGGACATATGTGTGAGCCTGAGTATCTGTGCATCTCATGTGTGCAGGAACCCACTCAGGTCAGGAGAAGGTGATAGATCCCTTGGAACTGGAGTTACAGGAGGTTGTGAGCTGCCATGTTGATGTTAACATAACACTATATTAGTGAAAATGGCAATGTTCTACAGAGTCAAAATCTGAATACTGTACCAGACTTAGGCTTTCTTCCCAACTTTGATTTATCTGCATTGCAGTATGCATTTCCCTGCAAAAGAAAATAAATTATTAATGCTGTAGTCAGCCCATTTGAAGAAAAAGATGTAACTGAACATAAAAAATTATCAAAAGAGTTCCTCAAAGTATAACACTCACCGTTCATGCATTGCTTCTCTGCTTGCTATATCCATTCCTTCTTCCTGGAAGGGAAGGAAATAAGAAACTGAGGGCCCAACTCCTACTGTTCTACTAAATTTCATTTAGGTTGGGAGTTTCAAATTTTCACTAATATGTACTTCATTGTTATTCACTAGGCTATGGAAGAGCTACATTGTTTCATTATAAACAAATCTCTACACAAGTGGCTGGCTCTGTACTCTGTTATCTTGCAAATTACCACAGCAGTGGTCTATTACTTCTGCATTGCAGCATATCAAATATGCAGAAACTAACTGGACCAGAAACTGTACCTTTCAGTAGTCAAGGGAGAGAACACCAAGATTCCCAAGTCCATGTTTTTCTCTGCTAGTAGTACTACAAAGGTCTTAGTCTATAGCATACTAAATGCCTACTAGTGTGGATTTAAAGATGATTTAGGTCAAACCATTGAAGTTCAAGATCTGTATTACAGGACTGGTGAGATGGCTTAGTGGGTAAAGATGCTTGCCATCAACAGTGATAGCCTGCTTCTAATCTCATTCTATTCTATTCTATTCCACCCCACATGATGGAAAAAGGAGAACCAGCTCCCCAAAGTTACCCTCTGACACACAGTAGACAAACAAACAAACAAATAAATAAATAAATAAATAAATGAAAATTTTAAATGTATTACCTAAGTGAGGAAATAGATTGTTTCTATAAAATCCATAAGAGAAGCACTTAGAATATTTACCAAAAAAGTCACAAGAATTAGTGAAAATCTGGAGAAACTATTGCTGATGGTAATAAAAATGGTACAGATTCTGTAGAAAAGTCCCAAAAGAGATGAAAATAATAATTCAGATACTTTTACACCAACATTCACAACAGCATCATTAGCAACAGGTAAACAAACAAGTGTCTTTCAAGTGACTGAGGGACAAAATGTGCTATGTCTACAGAAAGAATATTATTCACCTATATAGAAAAATGAAGGTATGAGTTCGGTATTATTTCAGTGTGAGAGTGAATTCTTAGTATGTACAAGGGTCTGGGTTCGACTATCAGTTCTGCAAAACAAATAAATAAAGTTTTGATATATTGACTGCACCTTGGGTGAATCTTGAAAACATTGTTCTAGTGGAAAAGGCCAGTACAAATACTATATGATTTGATTTATATGCAGTGCCTAGAACAGTCAAAACTCATAGAACCAGAGAAGAGAATGAAACTTACTGGATGGGTATAGTGTGGTTGTGAGTATTGAAGCTTATTACTTAAATGGGTTCATAGTTTATTTTGGGCATGATAACAGTCCTAGAAATAGAAACAGTTGCCTAACATTATGAATGTACTTAGTACTATTAACTGTACTCTTAAAAATGGTTGAAATAGGGCAAGAGATATAGTTCAGTGGCAGAGTGCTTGCCTAGCGTGTGTGAGGCCCTGTAGTGCCAGGTACTCTAGGGAAGCTGAGATAGGAAAATCACCCACTCTGGGGAGTTCAAGATTAACCTAGGCAGCACAGTTTCAAAACAAACAAATGAAATCCTACAAGCCTCTGACTCTTTTGCCTGCTTTTGAGACCCTTTTCCTTGTACTGGGGTTGCCTTGTCCAGCCTTGATAGGAGGATTTGTGCATAGTCTTATTGTAGTTTGCTATGCCATGCTTGATTGATATCCCTGGGGGGGGGCCTGATCTTTTTTGAAGAGTAACGGAGGAGGAGTGGATCTGAGGGAAAGGGGAGATGGGGAAAAGGGACTGGGAGGAGTTGAAGGAGGGGAAACTAAAGTAATGTAAGAGAGAAGAATAAATTTTAAAATCCTACAAAGAAACCTTAGACAGAAGATAATACTAGTAATGTAAAGTTGAAGCAAATATTGTAGAAATGGTGAAATATTATTAATAAGAATTCATATTTATTGTCCCTACTGAGCTTTTATTAATAACATTTAAGAATTTCTAAAAATACCATTCATTTTTAACGAATCCTTTAGTATTTCTTTTTTTGTGGGGAGGAGGGACATATTGAGACAAAGATTCCTGTGGGTCAAGTTGGTCTTGAATTCCTGGTCTTCTTGCCTCCAGCTTCTGAGCTTTGGGATTCCATGGCCACTGTATTTTTGTATTTCTACTTTGGTTATATTAAATGATTTATATAGTGTGCTAGCACAGTGGAGTATATTCAAAATGTATAAATAAACATGGTTTATATGTATTTTGTAGGCACATATACTCACAGCTTTTATTGATATTGTGTGTGGTTAAAAGATTTAAAAGATCCAGGTATATAACTCTATGCTCAGAATTCACAAAATCCTGGGTTCAAACAGCAAATAAATAAATTTGAATATTGTGGTCTATAATGTGGACACTAACTGTTTCATGTAGCTCAAGGTGGCCCTGAACTCATTGTGTAGCTGATGATGGTCTTGAACTCCTTATCCACCTTTTTCCACATTACAAGCCCTGAGATTCCCAGCATGTGGTACCACATTCGACAGTTTGTCTATTGTTTTAGGAGAACATTCCTTGAATCAAAATTGTAATTGCACATGACTGGTTTTAGAATTATGGAAACAGCATTTCCAATCATAATAATAACAATAAAGGGGCTGGTGAGATGGTTCATTGGGCAAAGATGCTTGCTTCTAAGCCTGGTGATGATCTTTCTGATGCCAGGACCTAGATAGTGGAAGGAGAGATCAAGATTCCACGTATTGTCTTCTGACAGAGACACACATGTCATGCACATTCATATACACACCTACAAATAAATACATAAATTCAATTAGAAATAATTTGATTTAAAATTAACAGCTCTTGATTTTTAAAATTCTCTTACTTGTTTGATTTGGAAAATTCGGTTGGCAGATGTACGAGTGTGAGAAGGCAGAAACTGAAAATTAAAATAAAAGAGTCAAACTTGCTTTAATGTTTCTGATTAATAATTTAAAATATGAAACTAACGTTATATTGTCTAAAATAATTATTGAGTGCCTAATGTACAGTAGCAATGACATTTGTTAACTTTAAGGCTTAAAAATTAAAATTGGATCTTGACTAAAGCACTGTGTTATTCAGAAGTCTATTGTATGTCAGAAGTAAACATTTGCTAACAGAAGAAACATGAGACAAACATCAATAAAATTTTCTGTTTACCTTTGAAGTTAATCTGTTTCTGAGACAGAGTCTCTTGTCAGCCAGGTTGACCTCAAACTCAAATAGCTGAGCCCCTGCCTCCACTTCTTTGTTTTATCTTTTTTATTTAAATTATAAACAAGCTTGCTTCACATGTCAATCCCAGCTCCCTCTCCTTCCTCTCCTTCCCTGCCCCCCACCAACCCTCCAGCCCGACCCAATCCCCACTCTGATCCCCAGGGAGGGTGAGGCCCTCCATGGGGGAATCTCCCGAGTTTGTCATTTCATCCAGGGCAGGGCCTAGGCAGCCCTCGATGTGGAATGGAGCCTTCCCCCACTTCTGAGTGCTGGGATTTCAGGGTACTCAACAGCATCCAGCACCATCGTCAACTTCCCTTTCTGAAGACACTAGATATCAATGTCACCTCAGTTTTCTTGCTGGTTCTAACCAAGCATTAAAGCTTAGTGAGAGGCGTTACCAGAACCAAATGCTCAAAAGCTATTAAATCAGCAGCTAAGCTGTCACACATACAAAGGAAATATGAACAGGAGAATTTCATCAAATATCTTTGAATCTTCCTGGTAAAAAGAAATTTTCATAGTATGGGTTGACTTAAGGCAAACACTTTCAAGTAGTCTGCAAAATTTTACTCTTAGTAGCTAAGGTATTCATTGCCTAGGTGCTTCCTCTTTCTCAGAACTACTTTCTCCTTTATTTTTGTGTCTTGTTTCAAAGCTTAGGAAAACTCTTAAGAGGAGAATGAAGGAATGAGGGCATTTAAGGCTAAGTATGGACACAAAGCTTAAATTACCCTCGGAATTTATCTATCTGTAGCCTGGTTGTTTCCTGAAATGCTCGGGAATGAATTTATCTTTAACAAACGTTTCACATTTTGATCTTATTTGTGGTGCTGGGGAATCAAACCTACAGTCTTGTGTAAGACAGGCACACGCTACATAGTCTCATTATTTATTAAGAACACACTGAGTGAAGCATTTCAAAAATATCTTAATAAGTACCTACTGTGTGCTACATCACTTTGCTTGGACAAAGACTATCTATCTCCCTGACCTTGAAAAAATCAACATCTAGTTAGGAAAAAAACCCAGGTAAGATCCAAAACCGAGTTCTGACTGTGGGAGTTCAAAGTAGATTCGCCTCTGAGGTCTTCTACTGGACCTCACAGAGTAACTAGGAATTTTTTAGATGTATTTATTTTATTGTTGTGCATGTATGAATGTTTTGCCTGCATGTATGCATGTGCCAACACATGGGAGCCTGGCACACTCAAAGGTCAGAAGAGAGCTTTGGATGTGTTAGAACTGGGGTTACAGATGGCTGTGAGCCTCCATGTGGGTGCTGGGAATTGAATCCAGGTCCTCTTCAACATAAACAATTGCTATAATCACTGAGCCAACCCTCCAGCCTGAGGTAGGAATTCTTAATGTGTACTGAAGGTATTCCAATGAATAGGAAAAACAACTCAGGTAGAGAGGCATGTTCCAGGCACACAGAAGCCCAGGTGCTGGAAACTTACTGGGAGGAAGGGGCAGGAAATAAACTTGAAGAGAAGTGGCTGGAAATGAAGGTAATTTTGAGAATTTAGCCTTTGATCTCAATAAAAAGAAAAGTTAGCTTTCTCCACATTCTTAAATCTTAAAGGTCTTTTAAGTTCTATCTTCTTTGAAAAGTCAAAACAAAGTAGCAATACTATGCAAAAATTTCAAGTTGGAAGCAGGGTCTAAAAACAGTCCATAATATAAATAATATATAATACAATAACCATAAATTTTGGACATGATGGTGCACACCTGTAATCCCAGAACCCAGAGACTGATGCAGAAGGATGGGAGTGCTTCAAATGAATCTTGTGCCTACTGTGCTGTTTTATTTTGGAGGGAGAAAATAAATTCCTACCTAGTGCAAATATTTTCTTCAAATAAAAGCATTTAGGCAGAGGCTGAAGAGAGGGCTGAGTAGTTATAAGTGTGTACTGCTCTTGTAGAGGACCTGAGTCCGGTTTCCAGCACCCAGGATGGGTGGCTCACAACTGCCTGTGCCTCCAGATTCAGGTGATTCAACACTCTTTTCTGGACTCCATGGGCATTCACACACACACACACACACACACACACACACACACACACACACACACACACCAAAAATCATGCTAGAGAGATGGTTGAGCAATTAAGAGCCCTAGTTGCTCTTCCAGAGAACCTGGGTTCAATTCCCAGCACCCACGTGGCAGCTTAAAAATTTCTGTAACTCCAGTTCCAAGGGATCTGACACAATCACACATATATGTATACAGGCAAAATACCAATGCACATAAAAGTAAAATAGAAGGCATTTAGACCAAAAAAGAAACAAGCAAAAGAGACAAGAAATGGATGCCAAACAGACATATGTAGTAGTAAGAGACAAAGTGGAAAGATTTCAGGCAGCATCTGACTTGATTTGGGCCTTGGAGAGTGAGGAGTTTGGCAGTGTATTCCACAGAAAAGTCAAAGTGTTTGATCCATTTTAGACAAGGATATTAACCTAGTGTGCAGCCAGGAATGGAAAGAAGAGAAGGCTCTGTTGCCAAAAAGAGTTGAAAATGATGGAGAGTTTTATATATAAGCTATGCTCGAATGCTTAATTGCAGAAAAATGATCCACTCCACTAAATATAATAGAGGAGCAAGTAGCAGGTTATACCCAGCAGTGCTATTTATTAGATTTGGAATGGACATATGCAGATATTCAGCTCTGAGCATGGTCAAGTTCCTAGACAGAAGATGGATGGATGGGACAGCTAGCCAGAAGATGGATGGATGGGACAGCTGTAAGCTAGCAACTCAAATCAGCCTTTTCTAGTCACGTTCTTGGTTTCAATAACATTCTGTGTGTGTGTGTGTGTGTGTGTGTGTGTGTGTGTGTGTGTGTGTGTGTGTGTAGCAGAGATGGAGAGACAGAGATAGAGACACAGAGACAGAGATTTGGAGACAGGGTCTCACTATGTAGCTCTAGTTAGCCTGGAACTTACTAAAGAGATCAGATGGTCCTTGAACTCACAGAGATCCACCTTCTTCTGCTTCCTGAGTTCTGAGGTTATATGCATGCACCACCATGCCGGGCTTTACTCCCTGAGCCATCTCACTGTCCAGTTCCTTGATGCCTAGGACCATGGTATCTTCCAGAAAACTTACAAAACCTCATACTTTTATAATTCAAATTACTAGAAAGTTCACAATATGTAATGTGAAACATTAATGTTTATGAGGTTTATAATCCAATTGAAAAGTCATGATACCATGAACTTAAATACATACATATTGTCTATAAAGAAGTTTTACGCTAACTGAATTATCATTAGATGTTTTTGTGAGAGAGGAGAAAGGGGTGGAAAATTGTTCCAAACTCCTTATACAAGACTTCTTGGAAATTGTTTTTAATTGGTACTTAGTAGATGATGAATAGCTAGTTTAGTTTGAGGCAAAGGTCTAAAATTTCCTATAGGAAAACTGTTCAGGAAATCACAAATGACATTGTATTGAGTAGGACTGAAGTGCGCCTGTAGAACTGTAAGCCACTGGAAGACTTTTAAATTGGATACATGTAGCTCCAATACTTGATTTGCTGGTTCTTTTAGTAGTACCAGTGCGGAAAATCAACTAGGGAAAGCAAGAACTCTGGAAGCAAGTCTCCTCCAAAGTTAAGTACTGCAGGCCGTGCTTGGGAGAAAATCGCCTGTGTGTGTGTGTGTGTGTGTGTGTGTGTGTGTGTGTGTGTGTGTGTGTGTGTGTGTGTGTGTTTTCTTATGTGAGAGAAATGAAGTTGAAACAGAACAGGGCTGTAAAGCTCAGTGCTCAGAAAGCTTGCTTAGTATGTACAAGGCACTAGGTCCAATTCTCAGTACCAAAGTAATTTTCTGAGATGTTAATAAACGTTATGAGTGTCTTTTGTGTAAATTCTCACTGTGCCTTTCCCTCCTAGTCAAAGAGAATGAATTCCTTGGAAGGAAGCAAGAGTATCAGGGCCAAGAAATGATGTCATGAGGGTGGAGTATGCATGTTTCTGGATGTTTAAGGGAGGTAGAAGTGGAAGGGGATGGAGGGCGTGCTAGCTAAAGCTCATTCCCAACAAGTATATTCACTGAAGAAATTAAGAAGAAAGTCTGGGATTGTTGTTTTCTTTTTTTCAAAAAGCACACTGGGTATTCTGGCCTATGAATCCAGCATGCTCGAGTTTGAGGCAGGATCATGAGTTTGAGTTCAACCTATAATACATAAAAGAGATAGGTAGAGAACAAGTTTAATGTGTATAGATATTAAAATTTTTAAAAATCAATTTTAAAATGTCCTACTTTTACTATTTTTAACCCATTTCCTGTTGCAGTTGTGACAGATAAAATACTTAGATGATCCTGAAAGAAGAGTTGTAGACTCTGTTTATAGATCGCTCTACCTGGTTCCAGAAATGACTCAGGGAATCTTATATTACTATTTAACAGGAATTAACGTGGGCTTCATACACAGAGCACAGAAAGATGACAGGAAAGAGACAATACACTTGCTACTAAGGGAGCACAAACTGATTTGGATTTTGTGGAGGCAAAGCTAATGTCCTATCAGATAGATATTAGGGGGTTGAGTAATTAAAATGTTTGGGCCCGCTGTGGTAGCACGTGCCTGCAACTCCAGCACTTGATATAAGACCTCAAGTTTGAGGATAGCCTGGGCCACACAGTTAAATCCTGTCTCATAAAAAAAGAAGAGAAAGGAAGGAAGGAAGGAAGGAAGGAAGAAAAAGAAAGAAAGAGAGAAAGAAAGAAAGAAAGAAAGAGTAAATGGGTTGGCTGGTTAAGAAAATCGACACACTCTTTAAGTCATTTCACTAAAGGTTTGTTATTCTACGAAACCAAGAGTTCTTAAGTCTATGACTAAAGTTTAAAGGTCTCTACAAAAGGGCTAGTCACTCAGTGGAACTATGCTTTTTCTGAGGACATTTCAAATTAGTGAGGTGGAGGCAGAAGTTGGAAGCCAGCTTAGGCTACATAGTGAGAATCCATGAAGACTGAAAGAACAGTGGTTGCGAGAGGCTGAGAAGAGGTGGGTAATAAAACTTTATTGTTCATAGTTGGGCAGTGGTGGGGCACGCCTTTAATCCCAACCCTTGGGAGACAGAGGCAGGTGGGTCTATGTGAGTTTGAGGCCAGCCTTTTGCCATGGTTATTGTTTTAGTGACCTTCCATTGAACTCTTGCATCTTCCTTTGCCTTCTTCTAATCTACCTTTGACACTAAAGGCAAAGTAACTTAACATTTTTTGAATATGTTATTTTTGATATAGACTCCCATGTAATGCAGATTGACACTGAACTCGTTGAGCTTGTAGCTGGAGATGACTTTAAACTTCTGATCTCTCTGCTTCCATAAGCTTTAGGATTCCAGGCACAAACTGTCATATCCAGTTTATATGGTGCTGAAGATCAAACCCAGGACTTTGTACAAGCTAGGCAAACACTCTGTGAATTGAGTTACATCTCCAGCCCATGAAGTTAGGGTAATTTTTAAAGATCTTATTTTAATTTTAATTCTGTGTATATGTATGTTTTTACATTTAACTGTAGTTCCCCCTTGGAGGCCAGAAGATGTTAGATCCCCCAGAAACAGGAGTTGAACTGGGAACCAAGCATGGGTGCTGGGAACTATAGGTACTGGGAACTCCAGTCCTCTCATAGAGCAGCAAGTGCTCTTACCCTCTGAGTTATCTGTCCTGCCCCCAGGGTAATTTTGTTTTTGTTTTTGTTTTTGTGTTTGAGACAGGGTTTCTCTGTGTAGCAGAACAAGCCATCCTGGAACTCGCTCTGTAGACCGAGCTGGCCTCAAACTCAGAGATTCACCTACCTCTGCCTCTTGAGTGCTGGAATTAATGGCAAGCACCCCAAAGTGTTTTCTTAAAACTGGAAAACTCAGAACACTTCAGTGACTTCTCATTGAACATAACTCTGTCTTAACACAGAATCTTTAACATGACCTAAATGCAAGAAAAAGCTCCTATTTGTTGTATTGTCAGTTGTTTTGTTTGTTTGTTTGTTTGTTTTTAAGACAGTGTAGTTCAGCCTGGTCTTGCTGTATAGCCCAGTCTGCCCTCAAACTCCTAATCTTACTTTGGAGTCCTAAGAACTGGAATTTCAGATATGTGCTACCACACCTCAGTCTATAAGATCTTGTACTACTCTACTGGTCCAACCACATGTCTTCTCACCTTTATAGTCCCATCCATCCTAGCTGCAAGGGACTCCTTTCAAATCAGTCATACTCTTCCTTTCCACATTATATTTCTTTTCTCTTCAAGCTCATGTAATATGCTATTTTCTGTTTTTGATTTTAAATATCATTTAATTTTTTTTGGTTTTTCGAGACAGGGTTTCTCTGTGGCTTTGGAGGCTGTCCTGGAACTCGATTGGTAGTCCAGGCTGGTCTCGAACTTACAGAGATCCGCCTGCCTCTGCCTCCCGAGTGCTGGGATTAAAGGCGTGTGCCACCAACGCGCGGCTCATTTAATTTTTGAAATTAAAATATAATTGCATTGTTTTTCTCTTCAGCCCTCCAACACTTCTCTTGCGCTCTCATGCTCTTTCTCTGTTTCATGGCCTCCATTACTTTAACAATTGCTTATTTATTAACTTATTATTTCGTGTGTGGTGCATACATGCATGCCATTGCACATGAATGTGAAGGTCACAGGAAAACATTCAGCAGTCGGTTCTGCCTTTCCACCACACGTGTTCTAGGAACAGAACTCAGGCTATCAGACTCTGGAGGCAAGGAGAGTAGGGAAATGAAGGGAGGTTAGTGGAAATAAGGGGGGAGAGGAAGGAGTGAGCAGAGGAGAACAGTGGGAAGAGGGGAAGGAAAAGGAGGGAGGATGAGGAGGATAGAGGGAGGGAGACAGTGTGGAGGACAGAGAAAGAGGGGTGAGAAGAAAAGGGGAGAATCGAGAGGAAGAGAAAGAGGAAGGGCAAGGAGAAAAATAGGGTAGACAGGAGGAAGAGGGGAGGGGAAAAGGGAAAAGGTGAGGAGAAGGAAGAGAGAGGAGGAGAAGGGAAAGGGTAAGGAGAAGGAAGCGAGAGGGGGAGGAAGATCTTGGGGAAATAGGAGAGGAGGGGGGAGGATGATGTAGGAAGTGTGGGAGGGGTATGAAGGGGGAGGCGAGGAAAGGAGAGATGGGAAGGGGTATAGGAGAGAGGAGGGGAGATGAGAAGAGCAAGGGAAAGGAGGGAAGGGAAGAGGGGGTTGTGAAGGGAAGAGGAGGAGATGGCGACCGGAAAGTGAGTTAGGGGTCTAGAAGAAGGTAAGAAAGACCAATATACATCGTTTCCCAATGTTTTATGAGGCTAAGATACCCAAGCCAGTAAAGATATCGTAAGAAAACTGTAGACTAATGCCTAAAGAAGATTTATCCCAGGAATCTGAAGGTGATTCAACATAAGAAATTCTGCATAATACACCCTATTAATAGAACAAAGGGGAAGAACACACAATTATTTCAAATGATACAGAAAAAGTACTGTAACAATTCAAACAGGTAGGAGAAGATGGGAACTTCCTTAGCATGACAAAGCCTCTCATAGATTAGTCAATGGTGGGAGACTGAAACACCGCCCACCATCCCAACAGTAAGACAAAGCTAGTCATTTGTTGAAACTAGAGAGGTAGTGATTCAAACAGAGTGAATCCACAGATGATGCTCACTGAATCCTTAAAATAGTTCATTGAACGCTGTGTGAGCAACAATGTACATCACCTAAAAATTTTTATATGATGAATCATTTATTCTTTTGACTTATTGACCTATAGGAATCTTTCCTATTTTCCTAGTTTTAATTAGCAGAAAAGTAGCTATAATTTAGAGATTGCTTGGTAACACCATGAATAGGAAATTTTAACTACAATTCCAGCTGTATGTGAGATAAAGGTTTAACTAAAAAGGGCTGAAACTACTTTTAGGAAAGCCTGAGAATGCAATGGAAACTAGACGGCTTTACATGTGAAAATACACTTGGTGTTAAATTCATAAGGGATTTAAAAGCTAATTCGGTTGCAGCTGCAGCAAAATAATCAGAACTGTGTTGGGTGTGTGTGATTTCTGGTAGTAATGCTAAAAGAAGCTGTTTCCCAAAGGCAGAACTTCCTAGAAATGCACATTCTCAGGCTCCATCCCAGACCTTGTGAGTCAGAAACTCTGAGAGGTGAGACCTTGCTGTGTTTAACAATCCCTCCATGCTCCACACTCTAGTCTGAAAACCACCCATGAAGACCAAGAAGTGTGTCTTACACAGGGATGCCACAATAAGCACTTCCTTACCAAAGCACGGCGGTTCAGAAATGGTGAGCTGTTCCTTCGCATTCTTATGGGGTCAACTTGGTATCCCTGTGAATTATCACTAAGACAAAAGAAAAAATTTGGCATATAAAACCCATTACCAACTTTTCAAAGAAATACAACTTATAGTTAGAGAGGAACACTATGAATGCAAATGGTGGAGACATCTGTGCAGATGTTTCCAGAGAGAGAGAGAGAGAGACGTTCAGACAGATGGACAGATGGGCGGATGGACAGACAGACAGACGAACACACAGAGAGAAAGAGACAGAGACAGAGAGACAGAGAGACAGAGAGGCCTACTCATCTAAGCTTAAACAAGTTTCATTGTAAGGTAAGAAATTCTCAGACATGCCATTTTACCTCTAGTTGTTCTACTGAGAATAAGCACAATTTACTGTAACCTTGGAAATATGCCATTTTGTGTGAACCTGTAACTGATTTAATTTTATGATCTGAGTTACAATGTACAAGCACAATTGTCAAAATCTGTACTGTTACATAAATAACCGCAACCAATAGCAGGGCTCAAAGGAACCGAGATCGTCGGCAGGTCAGCGTTACGCTACCCTGTTAAAATGGTTTTTCATTCATTGTGTATTCTAAGAGATTTCACATTTTAAAAAATCCAGACTCAATATTTCCAGCTTCAATTGAAAATGTGCAAGTTTGTGCAACACTGGAGCACATTTCCACACCAAAACAAGGGCAGAGCAGCTGAACAAACCACCACTGTGCATTGAAATGGCGTCTATGTTCCAGCTTGACTGCTTCCTACACAGGTGGCCGCGATCCTATTTGACCTTACCACCCCAGAAGAAGTCATCTTTTACTGATGTTTCTTTTTATCATAGCTTCTCGAGAAATCACAAAAAAAGAATACAGATGGTTCCCATGTACCATTTATCCAGGTTTCTGCACCGATCTAAGAAATTATCTTTAGCCTGCAGTGGTGGTACATGCCTGTAACCCCAGCAATTGAGAAGTGGAGGCAGGAAAATCAGGAATTCAATGCCAGTCTCCACAGAGTGAGGTGAGGCCAACCTAGGCTATATGAAACCTTCTCTATCTCTGTATCTGCCTCTGTCTCTGTCTCTGTCTCTTTCTCTGTCTCTATCTCTGTATCTGTCTCTGTCTCTTTCTCTGTCTCTCTGTCTCTGTCTCTGTCTCTGTATCTGTCTCTGTATCTTTCTCTGTCTCTGTCTCTGTCTCTCTGTCTCTGTCTCTTTCTCTCTCTCTCTCTAAAAAATACCCATCTCTAACACCTTCTTCTGGCTGCTTATATCCAATCAAGCCCCAGTCATTTAGGCTGCGCTCCTACACTCTATTTTCTATCCATCTTATTCTTTTTAGGATCGTTGCCAAAAAGCACTTCAAAGCATTTTCCCTTATACACAAACTGCACAATAGTCTCTTTGGCCTCCTCACCTCTGTTCTTTCCCTATTCTAAGCTATTTAGCAGACTGCCAGGGTCACCTTCCTAAAGAACAGCTTGCTCTCTAGCTCACAATTTTCAGTGGCTATTATCTGCCACATTCAGGTCTTTATTATGACATTCAAAGCCCTCCAGAGTCTGGCTACAGACTTTTGGGTTTCAGGGACTGGGAAAATTTCAGAACAAAATCAAAAAACATAGTTTCTCTGTTTTTCTTTTGTCCAGCATAGCACAGTGAAGTGAGCAGAGTTCACAGCAACCTGGTCTGTAGTGTAGAACTAACGACAAGAGAGGAACTTACGGGCTACGGACACAAAACAGCCGAGAGTGGGAAATACTAGTTACTCTTACTTGATCAGTCAGTACACATTATATGCATATATGGAAATATACAGTGTTAATCTGAACTTCATAAAAATGTAAGGAAATAGGAATAGCAACCATCTTAATTTGATTATTACATTTCATGCCCATGTATTGAAAAATCTTGCTGTACCCTACAAATATGTACATTTTAAATACTATTACTGACCATCATTATTAATTTTTATCTATTATTTTACTGTGACAGTGGGTGGTGGAGCCAGTGCCTAGTATGTGGTAGGCAATTTCTCTACCATTGAACTATATTCTCACTGAGTTGACTAGGTTGGTTTGGACTCATTTTGCAGCTCAGGTAGGACTTGACCTTGATATTCTCCTGCCTTGTAAGTAAGTATCTAAGATTACAATCCTATGCCACCAGCCCATTTAATATTAATATTTTACTTATAAAAGGGTATTATGTTATATGATGGACAAACAACCTTAAAGTACAAAATAGTCTTGCTTAGGAAGGAACAATTGGCAACTGCTTTATATATTTAAATATGGTTAAGTTTCAACTAAAAACAGATTAGTGGAACGGGGGAGGGGGAGACCTTTACTTAAGATCAGCAGAGCAGTAGAGGAACAGGCAAACATTTGAAGCCAGTGGCCAGAGCTACACACAAATTTGACCATTCAGCTGTCTGCGTCTACCTATGCTTGTCCATTTTCAGGTGTATTCCATATACTTGAAATGGTACCTAAGCTAGTCATTCCTAAATTTTCTTTGCCTCCTTTAAATTTGGTTTGTTTCAGGTAGGGTCCTGTGAAACTAAGGCCCATCTCCACCACTTTGTGTAGCCAGGGTTGACTTTGAACCCCTGATTCTCCTCTCAGGTTTCCAAGTGCTAAGATTATAGTTTGCATAATACCCAACTGTTCTCTTTCTTCTTCCTCTTTCTGTGCTTGTGTTCATTCTCTCTCTCTCTCTCTCTCTCTCTCTCTCTCTCTCTCTCTCTCTCTCTACACACACACACACACACACACATATACCACATAAACACACGTACAGTGTGTGTGTGTGTGTGTGTGTTGGTCTTTAAAAACAGTCTCTCACTATGTAATCAAAGCTGACCTTGAGCTCATTGGACTCTGGAGCTCCACTTCAAGAATGCTAGGATTACAGGCATATAATACCACAACTAGCTGTCCTCTAACTTGGAAAAAAGCAGAGGCAATATAACTGGGTCATGTTCTTGTGTCCCACATCAAATATCAGTATGCATCTTATCTAAGCAACAATAGACCTATGCTGATTATACTCCTAAAACAATCACTTATTAGGATGAGTACTAATCTTCTAGGGCAGTAAGAAATCAATATGCAAGTTAGCGGACAAACCTTGAAAGCCCCACAGAGTAAATTTTGGGGACATACAATTTCTGTTGTAACTTATCTTCTATGCCACTGTATGGAAAATTGACAATTAGGAAACAAATGGGCACGATTAAGTTCCAATATAACTTTTTTTTTTACAAAATCAAGCAACAGTCTGTATTTGACCAATAATCTGTCTCTTGATTTAGGCAGTAGCAGTTTAAATATGGAATGAAGCCAGAGGGTTGTAGAGGGAGAGGCTATTGGCAAGGAGTCGAAAAACTTAATATTTAAAGTTTTTTTGTTTGTTTGAGGAAGGCCTCACTGTGTAGTCCCAGCTGACATCAGACTCATTATGAAGTCCATGCTGGCCTTGAAATCAGGGCAATTCTTTTGACTCAGTCTGCTAAGGCCTTGCTATTACAGGTAGATGTCATCAGGTTATGCTAAGGTTTGTGTACATGTTTATCTGTGTCACACTCCTACTCTATTTCTAATTTTTAAAGACGGGCCAGAGAAAACATTTTTTAAAAACGTTACTTTTAATATAGTATTGAAAAACTACCTAAATATAGTGAGGTGCTTAGTCTAACTGCAACTTGATATGTCCTGCTTTGTTGATATTCATGGGAGACCTGCCCTTTCCTAAACAGAAAGGGAGGAGTGGATTGGAGGTGAGAACAGAGGGAGTCGGGGAGGGACTGGGAGGACAGGAGGGAGGGAAAATTGCAACTGAGGTATAAAACAAATACATTTTAAAAACTACCTTAAATATAGTACTGAAAAACTACCATGAATGTAGTGTTGAAGCTAGCTAGGTGTGATGGCATATATCTCTAATCACAACACTGAGGAGCCAGAGGCAAGAGATCAACAGTTGGAACACTGACTGTTCCATAAGACTGTTAAAAGTTTTGACATTAGCCATTAACTTAATGAACTGGAGATTGAGAGTATAAAGAATGATCCTTTTGTCCTAGCCCTCAGCTGCTGGGATTATGAATATGAACCACCACACTCAGCTATCAAAACATTTGGCTTAACATGGGAATCAGTCTGACATGCCTGAAGTCAGAGACTTGCCTATATGGGGGCTTATTTTTGTTTATAACCTATTTAGTGAGTTAGGGTGTAGTCAGAAGTTACTCAGAAGGAAGACCTTGTCTAAAGCAGGATTGCACTAAGCCTTAGTCAAATTCATTTTCCCCTCTTGTACTTGCAGTTCATATGCTCCATACTCCTTTACTTGGGCCTCAAGTTCCTAGTGTCCTACTACTTTCCAAACTACATGTAGCAGTGAACTATTGTATTTGCAGCTTGCTAAACGCTGCCACATGTTTTTCAAGTGATTTTCTAATTTAGCATCAAGTTCCATGTATATATAGAGAAGTCTATTTTTGTTTTTGTTTTGTTTTTTTGAGACAGGGTTTCTCTGTGGTTTTGGAGTCTGTCCTGGAACTAGATCTTGTAGACCAGGCTGGTCTCGAACTCACAGAGATCCACTTGCCTCTGCCTCCCTAGTGCTGGGATTAAAACCGTGTGCCACCACTGCCCAGCAGAAAAGTCTATTTTCTTGCAGCATTACAGTATGCTTGGAGCTCTAGGTACTCTCAAAACAAAAACAAATCCAGTATCCTGTTAGACTTTATTACATTGTGTATTAGTAAAGGTACCAATGTCAAAAGCTTTGATGAGGTGAAATGGTAAGATCCAGGTTCAGTGAGAGGCCCTGTTTCAAAAAGGTGAAGAGACTAGAAGAGGACATCCAACACTGACACACACAGCATATATATATATACATACATATATATATATATATATATATATATAGAGAGAGAGAGAGAGAGAGAGAGAGAGGTTGTTGTTCCTCCAGACTATCCTTTGTTGCAAGCAAAGGTAAATTCCATAGCACAAGGTCTTAATTTATGAAGCAACATTTATACAGAAAATTGAGAGTTACTAATAATTTATCTGATGGGTATCAAAAATACAAAGTTTATCATTTACACTAGTCTGGCTGGCTGGCTAGCAAGTCCCTGGTATCTACCTATCCATGGACCCCAAGTGCTAGTGTTGCAAGTCTTTACTGCCAAGCCTGGCTTTTGTTGTGGACTCTGGGGATCTGAACTCAGATCTTCATGCTAGTGTATCAAGCAGTTTACCCACTGAACTATGTTTCTAGCCCCTACAGAAAAGTGTGCTGCTGCTGTGGGGGTTTGAATGAGAATGACCTCACAGGTGCATATGTTTGAACACTTGGTACCCAGTTGGTGGAATTGTTTGGGGGAGGATCAAGAGGTGTGGTTTGTTGAAGGAGGCATGGTGGGTGGGAGTTTCAAGACTGAAGTCATTCCCAGTGTGTCTCTTTCATTCTGCCTTGTGGTTGTATCTCAAAATGTGAGCTCTCAGCTCTACTCCAGTGCCGTGCTTGCCTGCCTGCTGCCATGATCCCAGACTCTAACCATCAGCTCCAAATTAAATGGTTTTTTTTAAGTTGTTTTGGTCATGGCGCTTTTTCACAGCCATAGGAAATAAACAGCCATAGGAAATAAACAGCCATAGGAAATAACTACGACAACCACCTATGTATTGCTTATCTATTCATATATCATATGTTTACCTGAACTTTACTCACAAAAAAGAGTAAAATATACTTCTGAACCAATTATTTCCTCTTTTTGTGGCTGACAACATTATCCACTGAGAGTGCATAATAAACAAGAGATCATTTTATTGCAGTAACTAAAATTTTTTGTTTGACATCCATTTTCACCATCAGTGTGCAAGAGGTAAAGGTCAAACAAAGATGACAAGTCAGTTGAAAGAGTGAAAAAGTAGTAATCATAACAAATCTGGAGGCAAGGGTGGAGGGATGTTCAGCTTTTTCAAAGGAGTGGCTAAGAGATAAAGTGAAATTACAAAAAGTCATGTTCCACACCAACTGGTGGCTATAGCTGGGTCCAGGTGGACATATCAGAAGAGAACGTTCTGGTGCAGATAGATATGTGTTAACCTGAGATGGGACAAGGTAGGGTGAATGCTATCTTCCAGTTTGGCCCCTCCACTCCCTCTTCTCCACTAGGCTGAGGTGGAATCTTTCGGCACCAGGAATATGGGAGATGCCTGTAAGAACTTGATAAATAAAAGCAAGGAAAGTCCAGCAGATGTCGTTTTGTCCAACACCCCCCTTTGCCCTCAGGTATGCCCCCTGCTCACCCAAATCCATTGATCAAAGGGATGCTGCTGGATCTTCTAAGGAGATTGGCATCTACAGTGGTGGAAGTTGGTGACGTGCCCAAATCTGCTTCCATTTTGTCCTTTGCCATTTCAGTGTTGAGGACAAAGCCACTACTTAGTTGGAAATTTTCAAGGGTATCTGGCTCTTGTTGATGTAAGGACATGTCACAGTCTTGGTGCAGAGATGCTGTAGGAGAAATGCAAACGGGAAGGGGAGAGAAGAGTAGCAGAAGCCCTTAGATAAGTAGAGGTGCTCACCTTTTAAACCCCAATGTCGCTAACATCTGTGGACATAAGCCTGGGCAGGACTGGTCTGAAACCTCCTAGTCCTCACCTGGACCACTAATTACTAAAAAGGTCTAAATCTCTAATATAGTGACTAAATGAATTCCTTTTCCTCATTTTTCTAATCCATGGCTACAAGTAACTGTCAAAACAAAAACTATAGATTAACTGTCCTGAGGAAACGAGGGCAGTTACACCTCTGCCAGCTTCCTTTGTCCAGTCAAACAATGCACAGTAACTACGAAAGCAATTAGCATCCTTTATGGCTCCAGACAGACTCAGGAGCAGCAGTGTAGAACAAGTACAGTCTCTGAACAGCCTTTCCATGGCTCCTTTCCCCTGTGCTCTTCCTAGTGCTGTGCTAAAGGTCAGTTATCTGCTCCTATGCTGACTGTGGCATTCAAGAAAGACTTGACAGAAGTCAGCTATATAGGAATACTTGGCTTTCTGCCCTGTATTTCAGTTTTCCCAGGACTGGTCCGTCATCTTTTATGACTGGAATCAACAAGTTTGCTTATTGGCATGTATGTTTCTTATAACAGCAGACAAACTACACCATGGTAATTGAAAAACACAACTAAAGCCCAAATTGGGGAAAAAAAAACAAAACATTGTGTTTTTGGTTTTGTCTTTGACAAATTGCTTTCCCAAGTGCAGATAAATCATCATTTTCAACTTTTTTTTTACAATAATCCAGTGTGAATATTTGCAGTGTATTACATGTGGCCATTAGTTCAAGTCCTCAGTTAATATACAGACATAACAGCAACGCTTAGGTGTTTTTTTAAATAAATATCTCAGAATATGTCCAAATAAACATTTCCAGTTTTGGTAGTATAGGTGCTATACCCATTTCAACATTGCTTCTATTTCAGCTCTGTGTCCACAGCTCACAACACCTTCTTTACATTTAGAATTTTTCAGCACCATTTAATGAACCCTACTCAGTGCAAAAAGCTTAACTTCATGCTAATAATATTGGGGGTCTTATTTGGTTGGTTGGTTTTGTTTTTTATGAGACAAGGTCTCACACTGTAGACCAAGCATACCTGGGACTCACCCTGTAGCACAGGCTGGCCCATGAACTTTAGCAATCCTCTTACCTTAGCCTATTGGATGTTTACCAGCATGAGCCACCATGCCCTGATTCGAGTTTTTGTTTGAGTGTGTGCTTTTGTGTGTGTGGAGGGGAAGGGAGTACCGGGGATTGAACCTAGAGCATGATGCGTGCTAGGGAGATGTCTTACTGCTGAGCTGTAACTTCAGCATGTTAGGAATAGTGTAAGCCTACACCTTTTAGGAAATATAGACAGAACTGGCAAAAAAGTAAATAAACCTAGTGAAATGGGATTTTTAATTAAAATAGCCATAATATTCAAATATCACTTTAGAGTTTACAAAATGTTTTCACATGTCTCAATTGGTTCAATCAACAGCCTTGTTCAGCTAATCAGTGGTGAGCTTAAACTAATGGAATTGTCTTGAGATAGTTTGTGAAAAGTTATGACATGTAAGATCATAATCACTTATTTTTCATTCATTCTGGGAATAGAAGAAGAAAAACTTGATTATGCTCAGCAGAATTAAATTATCTAAATCCCAGACATGAGGATGATTTGGAGTCTCCACTCCTGATGTAAGACAGGTTAATAATAGCTACCATTTATTGGGCACTTATGTGCCTGGTACTATCCTAATCATTTTAAATATGTGATCACATTTAAAGCTTACAATAATTCTGTGAGGTAGGCACCGTCACAATGCCCAGATTTCAAAGGAGAGAGCCAAAGCCTAGAGGGGTTATTCAAATTCCAACTACTAGGTGGCAAAGACAAGCTTCCTCTGCCTTTCTGGTCAGGAAAAACATAGAACAGGCACCTCTGAATGTTTGTCTGAACATTATTTCTATACTAGTAAATACTCAATACATATTTATTAAATTGCTATATGAATACATGCAAATTTAAATAACCTATATGTGATAGTTTGAATGTAATTCCCCCCCATAAGCTCTTAGGGAGTGACACTGTTAGGAGGTGTGACTTTGTTGGAGTAGGTATGGCCTTGTTGGAGGAAGTGTGTCACTGTGGGGGTGGGCTTTAAGGTCTCAGATATGCCCAAGACATGCCCAGTGCTTCAGTCCACTTCCTCTCGCCTTCTGATCACGATGTAATCAGCACCATGTCTGCCTGCATGCCTCCATGCTCCCTGCCATAATGATAATGAACAGAACCTCTGAAACTGGTTTAATTGACCACCCTAATTAAATGTTTTCTTTATGAGTTGCTATTGTTATGGTGTCTCTTCACAGTAACAGAAACCCTAAGACATTATATTTCATAGTTTTCTTGTGTAATATATACATTACTACTATTTTATAGTACATATATATCCCAAAAGATTAATGATACATAACTTGGTACCAGTTGAGTCCAGTTTATCACCCATGATAGGAAAGGCATTGTCAAAATTCCCTGGGGATTTGGAATGTTTATAAAGTATGCTTGTTAAAGCTGAGTAATGTGAGAGTGCACGGAAAGGGTAGTGCTTAAAGGCAGAAGAAAGGGCTGTGTGACCAAAACAAACAAACAAAAAATAACCGTGGTGTGCATATGTGAACAAAAGGCTCTTGCCTCCATCTTAATTTCCATGCAATACATTAATACTCTTGAGGGTAATATGTGTTAATGACTATTTTGCATAAGTAGACAAAGTTTCATATATCTAAACATTTCATATATTTTAAAAATCTAAATGCGATAAGAATGAGCCATTTAAATGCCATAGCTAAGAAATAAGAATAATATAAAGACAAGGAAAGTGAATCTGGGACTGTTTCTAGGAAAAGGGTGGCACACATGGCTTGTAATTTCCTACCAGAACCTGATGTTAAGATCTGATTGCTGAAGACACCACACCCTTTGGTCACAGTACATGGAGGAATCAAGCTGATATTGACTGGGAAGCTTCCTTCCCACTGGGTACCTTTCATAGGACTGACTGGAAAGTGCTGGGTAGGCTACTGGGGGAAAAGTCATGAGCACTCTTACCTAGCTGGAAGTGTTGTGACTCAGTAACGTTCATTCCGTCAAGATATGCCCATGGATACATTATTGGCATGAGTGCTATAGATATAACCAACCACTTCCTAATTGGATTTAAGGCCCATTCCACAAGAGGAAGTACATACATAGTATTGTAATCATAGTCCCCAAGGGTGATCTTACTATTATTTTACTAAATGAACATAGTATCAAACTGCCCTCTAAATACACATATTAGTGTGTGTTTAGTGCATCTTTCATAGAGATGCTTCTTTGTATAGTGAACAGTGATTAATGAAGAAACTTGCTACTGGTCAGAGTGCAGAAATTTAAGGGATTTTGGAGTGCTCAGCCATAAATGGGACATCTATATCACACTCCTCCATCCAAGTCTCAGGGGATATTGTGAAAGAGGTGAGGGGAAAATTTTAAGAGCCAGATAATGGGGAGGGCTTGAGTGAAACAGTGTTTCCTGGACATGACAGGATGAATTTACAGCACGTGTGGTTACCTGCATAGATCAAGTCAGTCAACATTCCAGCATGGAGGAAGGAGGGGTTCACAAACTCCCACCCCTCACTGAAGAGCTACTCACGATTGATGATTGCTGAGAGAGAGTCTTTTCTTTAGGAGTGTGATCCCTGGTAGATTGACCACACTTTAGTGGTTGGCCTCATACCCATATCAATAGGGGTAATACAAACTGCACTCAGTGGGTTATAAAAAATAAGAACCTGAGAAGTTGGGAAGGGTTGACAGGGGTGAGGAAGAGTTAAGGGGAGGAGTAGGTTCTGAGTATAATCAAAATACATTGGACATATGTATGAAATATTTAATAAAAACATTACATTTAAGATAGACAAAGAAAAGGCTGACAAAGAAATATGAAATGAGTAACTATCTGAGATGGCAATGATTCTATTGCTCAAAGGGAAGACTTCTCTTTCACAAGAAGAGATTTACATGTCAGAAAATTAAAACCTTTAAAGAAACAGACAGGACTCAGTACACCCATAAGTGAGAATATCAAAAGGATCAAGTACTACAACAACAGAGGAAACACACCATTTAAAGAGATTATTCCTGCTTCTTTATAATCTATACTCACCATCAGTGTTTTCTCTTCCACAACAGGCCATGGCCTCAGATCAATAGTTTTCTTGGACCTTCAGTTTAACACTTATACTATCCTTTTCTTTGTATGTCCCAGTCTGCTGCCTGTCTGCCAGTGGCCTCATCTGAAAAGGGTACCTCACAGACGTGTCATAATCAGCTCCTTATTTGGTGGGTAGACACAGCAACCTTAAAGCTACATTTCACCCTTTAGTTACCACAAGAGGAAGTCAAAGAGAAGTTAAATCCCGGGCCATAAACTACAAATAACCCAAACATCTTCAAAGATTCGCGTGCAAGGCAACAAAAACTAGGTAGACAACGATGGTGTGAATAAAACTGGAAATGGGGCCTATAGAGAAGGCTCAGTAGTTAAGAGTGTACACTAACTCTCTGAAGCAACAGGTATCTCTGGCCTGGTTAGGTATATGAATACTCTTGTGTATACACACACACACACACACACACACACACACAGAGAGAGAGAGAGAGAGAGAGAGAGAGAGAGAGAGAGAGAGAGAATTACAAGCTATTGCCATTGCTCCTGGCTACCCTCCAAACTTGATGGTAAGACCCTATTGCTGAAAACACTACATACTGGTATCATAGACCATAGGACAATCAAGCTGGTATTAACTTCATCTTTACTGGCTAAATTTCATAGTGCTGGAAAGTACTATGCATATTACTAGGGGAGAAAATTAATAACTCCTACCCACCAATGAACCCTGTGAACTACAATTATGACCAGCCTGGCAAAAAATGCCAACCAGTACAATAGAAACAAAAATGTTACAGGAGTAATTGTGCTAGTTGAATGAATGAGAATGGCCCCCATAGGCTCATATGTTGACTATGTAGTCTCCAGCTGGTGGAAGTGTTTGGGAAGGATTAGAAGGTGTGTCCTAGTTAGAAGTATGTCACTGGGGAGGGCTTTGAAGTTTCAAGAGACTTGCACTGTCTTCCTTTACTACTGTTGGGATCAAGGCAAGTTATAAAAGACAGCATTCAATTGGGCTTATAGTATCAGATAATTAGAGTTTGTGACAGTGGAACAAAGACATGGCATGAGGAGCCGCTGAGAGTTCACATCTTGTTTTGAAAGGAGGCAGAGAACACACTGGGAATAGCAACAGTGTTTTGAAAACTCAAAGCCACGCTCATTCAAACCACTGCATTGCACTCCCTGGCCATATCTTAACACAAAATACATTTAGTACAACTTCAAAAGTCCTCACAGTCTTTCAATCTCAACACTGTTTCATAGTTTAAAATTCAAAGTCTCTCTGAAACTCAAGGCAATCTCTTAATAGTAACCCCTATGAAATAAAAAAGCAGATCACATAATTCCAACATACAATAGCATAGAATATATGTTACCATTCCAAAATGAAGGAATTGGCATAGTGAGGAAATACTGGACCAAAACCTTTAGATGACTCCACTCTTCTGGCTTTGTTGACTGCAACATACATTTTTCTTTTGGACTGGTTCAACTCCTTGTATGGAGGTCTCCTTGGCAGACATCTCATGGCTGTGACATTTACAACATCTTGGGGTCTCCAACATAACCCAAGATTCACTTTTATAGCTTCATGCAATGACCTTTTAAGGCCTCCATGCAAGGACTCCTCTGTCACATGCCTGGCCTCAGAAGTTCTCCTTAACCATGGAGGATGATTCCATAACCCTTTTACTTGTGTATCCTTCATGACTCTAAGGTCAGAAGATGTGGCTAACACTGCCAAGTTTGGCTAACAATTTGGGATTAACCCTGATTACCTCGAATCATATTTGTAACCACTTTGATTTGTTGTTGGTTTTTAGGGCCAGAAATTGTCTTAGGTCTTTTCATAAGTTTCAGGATTATCTGGGTGGGACTTGATCTGAGGTCACTCCTCACTTTATGCAGATATGGGTCAGACCTCACCTTGATCTCCTTATCTCTTTCAGCACAAGCCTTGGCTCCAACACCAAATTTCTCTTTCTCTCTCAAGATGTATATTTTGTATGCCCCCTGCAACTTTCTCTCTTTTTCATTGTAGACATGCATAAGAATGATTAGGTATAACCACATGACAGAGTCAATAATGGACTTTCTTGAAACCTCCTCCATCAAGGAGATTAGTTCATTACTTTACAATTTATCCTCAGGCAAATTTCTAGGAGAAGGGAAGAAGGCAGCCACATTCTTTTCCAACATACCACAAGAATGGTCTCAGCCCAGGTGCTAATATTGTTCCTCTCTGAAAATCTTGAGTTGGACCTCCACATTCCACATTACACTCACTACTACCATCTTCCAAGATCCTAGTAGGATGGCCCATTAATGTCTACTATTAGTGTTTAACTGATTTTCCAGTTCAAAGTTCCAAAGATTTCCACATTCCTCAAAAAAATTCACATGGTCAGATCTGTCACAGCAATAGTCTCATTCCTGGTACCAACTTCCATCTTAGTTACTTTTTTATTACTGTCACAAAACACTATGATCAAGGTAACTTATAAAAGCAAGTGCTTAATTAGGTTTATGGTTTCAGAGGGATAGAGTCCATGATGGAGGAGCAAAGGCCTGGCAGCAGAATAGCTGGGAACTCACATCTTGACCTACAAGTAGGAGGTAGACAACATACTGAGAATACCTCCAGTCTTTTGAAACGTCAAAGCCTGAGATCCCCAGCAACATACCTTTTCTGATAAGACCACACCTCTTAATCCTTCTCAAACAGTTCCACCAACCTGGAACCAAATACTCAAACATAGAAGCCTATGGTGGCCATTCACATCACATGTGACATTCCCAGTGTTCCCTTTACCTCCTGCTTGTGGTTTGAGATGTGAATTCTAAGCTGTTCCTGCCATCATGCCTTTGCTCCACCATCATAGACTTTAGCTCTCTAGGACTGTAATCCCAATTGAGCACATTCTTTTATAAGTTGCCTTGATCATTGTGTTTTATCACAGTAATAGAAAACTGAGACAGTAACCAACAACTTTCTGATTGGATTTGAGACACTATTATTGGAAAAGCAGAATGGCAAACTAGGCTATGGGCCCTAGTGGAGAACCTATTGATGTTATTCTGCCAAGTGGCATAGTATTAAACCAACTTCTTTTTAAAATTTATTTTATTATTTTGTATGCATGAGTGTTTTGTCTGCATGTATGTCTGAATAACTCATGCATGTTTAGTGCTTGAGGATATGGTGAGACTCCACATGGTTGGTGAGAACTGAACCCAGGTCCTTTGTAAGAACATCACATGCTCTTAACCACTGGGCCAACTTTCCAGTCCTTTAAACCAATTTCTCAAGACTTATTTTTATGCTCATAGACATAAGTGCATCTCTGAATTGTCATCAGAGAAGCTTCTTCTAGCAGTAAACGATGACGTCCAGAGACCCACAAATAGACAATGTATAGAAAATTGGAGATTGCAGAGTGTTCAGCAAAGTCAAGGGATCATCTCTGAAGAGGAGGTAGAAATATTATTATAAGAGCCAAGGTTGTAGATGACTATAGCAAAAACATTTGCTGGACACAACAGGGCAGTTGCCCATGTGATTTGGCATTGGTAATGACTGCATACAAAAGACCTGCATAAGAACAATGCAGAGAAAATCCTAGGGGGAAGCAGTCAGGAAGTCCTACTCTTAGCTGAGGCAATTGATGCCTGTTGGGAGAATGAGAATCAGTTTTCTTCAGGGGTGTGGCCTCTGTGAGGCTAACCCATGCTCCAGAAGATGGCCCTACACCCATGCACACACTGGCAGCAAAATGAACTGCATGGATTTGAAAATCACAGAGAGAACACATGACACTAGCAGGGAAATGTTATGGTGAGGATGGGGAGGAACTGGAGAGGAGGGAATGGAGGGGAACTTGATAAAAACACATTATATGCAAGTGTGAAATTCTCAATCAATAAAAAATGAAGTGGGCTGGCAAGATGGCTCAGTGTGAAGTACTGCCAAAACTTGACAACCTGGGTTTGATATCTGGAACCCATGTGATGAAAGAAGAGTACCAACACTCAAAGTTGTTCATTGATTTCCACATGTGTTCTATGGAACATGCATGATCACAGAAACATGACACAAAATAAATAATTGTTAAAAAAACAAGTAAACCTGGAAACAATGCCCAACATAATGCCCTTTTTTTCTCACACACTTAAGCTTTTCCTAAGTTTTTATGTTCTCAAAAGTTAGAGATTCAGGGCTGGAGAGATGGCTCAGTGGTTAAGAGCACTGACTGATCTTCCAGAGGACCTAGGTTCAATTCCTAGCATCCACATGGCAGCTCTGTAACTCCAGTGCCAGGGACCCAACACTCTCACACAGATGTAAATGCAGGCAAAACATCAATGTACATAAAATAAATAAAAGTTTTAAAAAGTTTTAACAGTCCAAGAGTCAACTAAATTGTTTGACTTCTCACAACTAGAGATGGTAAATGTAGGTGTTGGGAAGAAAACTATTATTTATTTAGGAAGAGGAATAGGCATTGTTGAGACCTTGAGATATAAATAGATACAAAATTTGCTCTATCTTCTATGACTCTAGACTCTAGGGTCTGGCATATTCAGCAATAGAATCCTACATCAAGTTTTAGAGGGTAACAAGGAGTAATGGCAATAACAATAACATGTAATGTTTATTTGTGTTGCTTTATTTAAGAAAGGTTCAGATTGTGTCTAAATGTAACTCAAGTAAGTCTGATGTCACAATCCTCCTGCCCTGGCTTCCGTTGCTGAGGTCATGTTTTTAATGAAGCTGGCAGATTAAATGAAATAGTTGGTAGGGGTGCTCTCTGAACCTTCACCAGTTCAGGGTTTTGCACAAACCATGAGTCATTTCTTTGGTTAAATAAACTCCGCTAAATTTAATTTGCCTAATGTCTTTAACATTCCAACAAGCTTTACTAAGGAGTAAATTAATTAAATGATTTTACCAACAAAGTAATAAACTGTCCAAAAGTCCTTTGTAAGTCTTCATAATAAGGCCAACAAGATGGATCACGGAGGTAAGAGAGCTTGCTGCTAAGCCTGGCAATTTGAGTTTAACACTTGGGACCCACATGATTAAAAGAGTGAGCTGACATCCTCTGGTTGTCTTCTGAGCTTCAA